TTGCTTATTTTCTCAGATATCTCATGCTCATATATTTTCAAAATTTGATTTGAAGTCAGGATTTTGACAGATAGGCATACACCCAGATGATAAACCAAAAACAACCTTTTGTCTTCCAAATTACCATTTTCAATGGACTGTTATGCCCTTTGATTTGAAAAATGCACCCACTTATTTTCAAAAGGTTTTAACCACTATTTTCGAACCAATCTCAACACAAGCTTTCATATATATAGATGACATTCTACTATTCTCTCCTGATCTTGAAAGTCATGTCAATCTATTAGATAAGTTTTATTCCCTTTGCTGTAAATATGGTATCATGCTTTCTGAAAAAAAGTGTGTCTTTGCTACTACTGAAATAGATTTTCTTGGTATGCATTTCCATAATGACATGTACAGATTACAACCTCGTATAGCCAAACATCTTTTAGATTTTCCTGACACCTTGACCTCTGCAAAACAAATACAATAATTCCTAGGCATGGTAAATTACATGTCCCCTTTTATTCCTAAGCTTTCTTTGTTCACCAGTCCCCTTTATCTTCTGTTAAAGAAAAAAGCACCACCATGGAAACAAAAATAGACTGAGTGTGTTCTGGAGCTCAAAAGACTATCTCAAAATTTACCTTTTTTGAAAATACCTTCCATTGGAAAAAGAGTTTTGCAAACTGACGCATCAGATGAATTTTGGGCTTGTATCGTACTTGAGCAAATTGGAAAAGACAGAATGATTAGTGGCTATAAAAGTGGAAAATTTAAAGAGTCAGAAATGCATTATCATTCTACTTTTAAAGAAATACTGGCCGTTAAACGAGGAATTGAAAATTCCAATTTCTCCTTATTGGCCACAATTTCCTTGTAGAAATGTATTTATCTGCATTCCCCTACATGTTGAAGTTCAAAAACAAAATACTTCCAAACTTACAGTTACTGAGATAGTCAAATTGGTTTTCCCAATGGAATTTTGAATACAAACACATCTCTGGGAAAAACAATATTTTATGTTTTCAAGGAAAAAGTTTTCAGACCAGCAGCTTCTCCCAGTAATTCATTTTTTAGGTGCCATTATCAGCATTGATAACAATGAACAAGATCTCCTTGATGAAATTTATGAAGTAATCCTCAGGAAAACTATGGATTCAAGGAATGATCTAATGCAACAGAAAATGCATGAAATAATACTAAGGAACCATGAAGATTGTTTTCAAGGAATTCGATGCCATCCAAATTATCCATTCCTATCCTTATTTCAGACTAGACATTACTATAATATGCCAAAAGAAGTTATTTGCTATCTTTGGTATCTTACCCAAAACCACCACATATGTTTCAACTTCCATGTAAGAAAACTCTTATCTTACCTTAGACATTGCCATTTCTTACAATGGAACAATTACCAACATCCCAACCCTCGCGCTTTAAATTTTTATAAATTTCTTATAAAACACTACCATTATAACCAGTGGTTTGAATCCTTTGGATATCCTCATAAACCTTATATCATTATAGCCTTCCACCAAGATCTTAATCCCCAAGTTTATTCTGAATATACTTATATTACTCAACACCTCATTATTGAAACCATTGGATGGTATGATTCTAAGCTTCTAAGTTTCTGGCTATTTCAGACTGATTTATGGAAAGAATTAAAAAACATCATGTGTTATATTAACAAAATCTTGCCAGAATAGATTCCTTTGGATATTTATATAGGGAGTAAAGTATGGACCGATGATACACCTAAAGAAGCAGCTTTACTCCATCAGCTTCATCTACAGCTTGCAGACTGCCCTCCCCCTGCAGAACCAGAAGACAGCTCAAGTGATGACACATATACTGGACCTTCTCATCGCCCTCCCTCATCATCAAGTTATGATTCAGATGGGTATCCTTATGATCTCTATCCTGACACAGACTGAGGCCGCATTTATCCTTGAAGCCATATCAAATTGAGGCCGCACTTAGAAACCATACCAGACTGAGGCCGCACTCATCCTTGAATCAGCAAGGCACTGTAGCTCACTGTTTTGTCGGCAGGCATTGTAGCTCACTATTTTGTCGGCAAGCACTGTAGCGCACTATTTCATCGGTAGACATTGTTCATCAGCTTTTCACTGTTCATGTCGGGACACTTGGCACTGTTCATCAACTTTTCACTGTTCATGTCGGGACACCTAGCAATGTTTGTCGGCCACCGACCACTGTAGATCACCTTTTCACAGTACATGAGGCCACCTGTCCAGGCCAATTGTACTTTTTTATTATTGTTTGAAATCCGCCTTTGATGTCCGGGGGCTATAAATACCCCTTCAAGGCATTTGTAATGGCCAGAGTGCTTTTAGAGCCTCTCAACCTTAGTTTTCTTTGGTGTGCTTTACTTCCTTGCTTTTTTCCTTGCTTCTGTTTTCAGCTTTTATCTTTTTTTATGCTTGGAAGATCTTTGTATCTCTTTGTATAATCCCGTAAATTCCTGTGTGCTTAGTCAGTATTGAATACTTCTCTTGTCTTAATTAAGAGTTTCATGTCTGTTGATTGTTTATTTCATCAATATTGTTTGTGTATCGTTTAAGCACATCAATAGCATAGCAAAGTTCCTTTCTAAAAAGAGTGCAACTAGCCGGTAGAGAAAGAAGCGTAAATGTTAATTTGTTCTACAGTATGGACCTTAAATTTTTTATACATAAAGTGTCAATGTGAGTGTTTGAGAGTGTCAACACATGTCAACACGAGACACTAAAAAAAAAGAACAAATCACCACCTTTCATCCTACCACTTCAGAGAGATAAAGATAGACACTCATAACGCTCATTGAGCAGGGAAAGTAACCTTGAAGCACTCTATGCATTCCCCAAAGAGACCCATCGATTGGGGCATGGTTTATGAATTTTGACACCCATGCCTCTTACAAAATACCAAGGTTTACCGATTCAAAACGTGAAAGAGATTTACAGTATAACCAAACCCGCTTTAAATTCGCAGTGCATGTTTCCTCCCCTTAATCATGTCTTTTGTTTTCTTGGCATTTTGCCTTGGGCTGCAAGTAAATGGCGGAAGCCCTGGGCCTGGGCCCATCTACAAAAGAAGATAAAAGAGCGAGATTTTTTTTTCTGTAGGAACGATGCTTAATACGATAATGACAAATTTTGGGGAACCCACAGCTAATTATGAGTAGCCTTCAAAGGTGATTTGTAATTACTTTTAAAGTGAAACCGCATCGATATGATTTGACAAGGCCATCATTACCCAAAGAACAATAAGATTAAAAAGCCATCATATGCTTAATAACCATCACATTGGAGACACTTAATGCTGTACAACTAATTGCCTTTAGGGGAAATATTTAAAAGATTAAAGATAAATTAAGTCCAATCAAATCTTGATAACCTGCAGGAGACGTTAACGATTGGCAAAAGGCTGGCAAATTTTTCTCCTATTCGCTTTGAAACGAATAAGAACCTTCTCCAGCTTCAAAATTCGCCAGCATGCATTAAAATTTCGGGTTAGAAATTGCCCCAGAGATTTCTAAGAATAACCCTAATGTCCTTTTAGGAAAAAAAAAAACCAAGTCATTGTTTTTTTTTTTTTGATAAATATTGAAATCATGTGAAAATAAAATAAAATATAGATGAGCATCAGCCATCAATATACCAAATCATCTCTCTCGAGTGGGTTTGGGCTTTAGTGGTTAGCAGTTAACGTTGGCAATGCGATTCCTACTGCTGAATCAACAACCCTCCTCCAAAAAAAAAAAAACCAAAAAAGTATATTTTACATTTTTAGCCATTTTATTTGCCAGTTATTTGGTGTGCAGCGCTTGTTAATGAAGAAACTAAAATTTTTCATATTCACACTCTAGAATGAAAAAAAATGGGAAGGGTCAACTTTGTAATAATCATAACTTTTGTGGGGCACTCATGTAAAAAGAAAAGGCCGAGCACAGTAGCTGGTTGCCAATAAACAAGGCCTCACATGCATGTCCACAAAAAAAGGCTTAAAGACATGTGGCTTTTCAAATCCCACTTTTCATTCCATTACCAATAGCATGGCCCCCCCAATAATCACCCACCCCATACTTTGAATTCTATGGACTGCTTTCTGACCTAGCCACGTTAGGCCTAGGAGAAACATTTTGGTTCTACTTTTATCCTCTTATAGCCAGATAATAGAGGATGAGAAAAACATTAAATATATAAAAAGACAAGCAAAACTAGACTTTTTTTTATTTGATACGAAAAAATTTATATAAGACTGAAGCCCTGAACAATCAAATTAAGGCGTACCTAAAAAAATTAATAGAAGAAGTTGTTTCGATGCTGAAAAACCCTCAAATCCAATTATCTTGATGTTAAGATACATGGACATAAAAAAAAAAAAGCTTCAAGTTTTGAAAATAGTGCATCTTGTAATGGATTATCTAGACTGTCAATTCTCAAGTGCTCATAGATCTGCTTGATATACATTAATTTTTAAGCTAAAAATTTCATAATTAGAGATGAAAATAAGTTTTCAATCCACCATAAAGATTTACAATGCTGAAACGACATCTTTCAATATTGAACGCACGCCTTATTTTCATTGTTTAGGGCCTCAGCCTTATACAAACCACACCCTTAGTTTTTTGAATATCAATATTTGATTCTATAAATTCTCTTTTGAGTGAACTTTTGAGAAAAAGAAGAGTTAGGGTATTTCTTACTTGTCAATTTCATTTCTGTCTAGTTTCTAGTAAAAGCCACAAGGAAAATGTGCACTTTTGGCTAGATTGAGGGAGATTATTATTTATATACCTCTTATTTCATTTATATATTACAATTGCTCACTTCTAGGAAGTTCACCATGATATGAGAGAGAGAGAGAGAGAGGCATGGCCTTCAAGATTGGCATGGCCCCAATGGACACATTTGTCAAAAAGTAATTGAGAATACATATTCCTCACCCCCTAATCACCTATATCTATCACCTCAATTCCCACAAGAGTTGCATCCTGTCACCCCAACTCTAGAAACAAATCCCACCCATCCACCTCCTATTACAAATATTATCTTCTATGGCTTGGAGTAGAGGTCCAAGTAGTAGCGTCTCCAAGAAAACCAAATCCTTCAATAGAAATCCATCGATCCAAATGGATGTCTCTCCTCAAACCCAAATAAAACAGGGAGAAATCCTCCATTTCAGTCATCCAAACCACCCATTATCCCTCATCTCCATCCCCTATCTATTCACTTGCATGGGGTGCAAAGAATATGGTGCAGGACAAAGATATAGGTGCAATCTCTGCAACTTTGATCTCCATGAGTTTTGTGCTTTAGCTCCATCTCACCTACAAAACCATCCATTACACCCGAAACACCCGTTGGTTTTCTCCACAAAGCCGTCAACCAGATTTCTCAAACCAAAGTGTGAAATTTGCAGCAAAACCACTAAAGGTTTTGCCTATAGATGCACCGCTTGTTATTTTGAGATGCACCCATGTTGCTCCAAGCTTTCAATTGACATGAAATACCCAACCCATGAACACACTCTCAAGCTCTCACCTGCAACTTTAATGGGTGATGGTTCTTTTTGGTGCCAGGTTTGTGGTAGAAAACGCTCTGGTTGGCTTTACAATTGCACCAATTGTCGTTATGGGGTGCATGCAGTTTGTGCAAAAGACGCCATTAATGGACTTCACAAAGAGGGCCTCATTGCACCAATTAAGCCAAGTGTTTTGGGAGTAGCTGCTCGTTTTGCTTCTCAATCAGTGCTAGGGTTTATCGGTGGGTTAATAGAAGGGCTTGGAGAAGGGGTTGGAGAAGCCATTATTGAAAGTGCAGGGAGAGGTCTTGGTGATGGGAACACAAGACAAATCAAGGGCTTGACATCCTAGAAATCTAGGGTTTTATGTATGGCTTGGCATGTAAAGAGTTGCATGAAATTTAGGGTTATAAGGGTGGAGTGCATAATATTTACTTGAGCAACATGAATTGTGCTAAAATGGTTTGGCATAAGGCTTAGGGGTGTTCACATTAAGGCAGAGACCAAAGAGTGGTTATGGAAAGATGATTCCACAGGAGCTTTCTGGGGTATTATTTTTTAATGATAGAAGCGGGTTTGAAGCCTCTGCACTTTGAAGACTTGGATCATGCCTCTACATCTAGGTGAACACTTCATAGTTGTTATTGGTCATGAAAAATGGAACTAGAATAAGGTTTATTTAAAATTGTTACAGGAAACTCTGGTAGTGAAAAAGCATGTTGTAATGTTATATGTTGTAAAAACTGCTGTAATGTTTGATGCGGCTTGCACTGAATGTATTTTGACATTATAATGGTTATACAATACCTAAATTTATAGAATCGAGATTAATGAGAGGTTAGTCTTCCAAGGAGTGCCCAATTGAGCTCTGTTATCAAACTACCCGCAACATATTCATTATTTAACATTTTACACATCCGCAGCTATTTCAACTCATAGTCTTTTGATAGGTATTTTAAATTAAATCAAACCGTACGGGTGAAATGTTTATGGTTTATCTCCCATAGCTGTTTTGATAAATTTCCCTAGAACAATCTACAATTAGTTGTGACGATCACATTTAAATAAGGGTGTGGTTTGCATAAGGTTGCAACCATAAACAATCCAATTAAGGCGCACCTCTATTTTATCATGAATATAATTTTGATATAATTTTTTTTACGATGGCTTGAGAATCTATTTTCATCTCTAATTGTAAAATTATGGACAAATGAAGTATATCTATAAACACATGAAAATCTAAAAAATGGATGGTTCAGATAATCTGTTGCAAAATATACTATTTTGTGAACTCGAAATCTTGTTTTTTCTATTTATAGTCATACATCTTGATGTCGTGATAATCAATTAGGGGGGTTTTCAACATCTAAACAACACTTTATGATGGATTTTCGAGGTGCACCTTTAATTCTACATTTTAAGGTTGCAACCTTATATAAACTTTTTCCTCGAAATAATAGAATACGGTTTGCCATGCCCTTATGCTCAAGCAAACATTCAAAAGACTGCGGTCTATCCCCTTGATTTCGAAAGAGTTCCTCACATGGATGTTTGTGCTCAAACTAAAGGAAGCCAAAAGCACAAAAGTCTATGGCCCTTCTAAGCCCTCAAACCTCTTTATTTCTCTCTTCAATGGACCGCACACCCATCTTATTGGAGGCATAAATGTCCAGCTCTCTCAAGCCAACCTTAGTGGAGGATATATTCTTATAAATCACTTGTCCAATTGAAAAGAAGAAGAGTTTACTTGGTGAAATTAGACTACATAAATATAAACACGTGTATTTTTGTATGTGCATGTGTGTAAGTACTATGATTTTGTTTTTAAATGGAAACAAAATAAAAATACGTAATACAACTGAGAATGTCGAACTTCTTAGATTTGATTGCCCTTAAATCGATTTTGTTCTTCTAGGGCAGCATGAGGCACAAACAAACATAGTAAATTCATTTTCTCAAATATCATTCAACAAAGAGTCTTGATATTAATTTAAGGGTGCGGTTTGTATAGAGCCTAGGCTCTAAACAATCAAATTAGAGCCTACCTTTAAATGGTGTTGAGAAATGTGGTCTCAATAGTGAAAATCTTTGTGATACTCTTAAAATATATTTTCATATTTATTTATAAAGCTTCAAAACTAGTGTAGATCAACAGATCTATGAAAACTTGGAAATATTGAAAATTGACGGTCCAAAAATGCATTGCAAAATACACTATTTCTCATGTACATGCATCATGATGTCGAGATGATCAATTTGAAGATATTTGGGCATCAAAATAATCTCTTCTAGTGAAATTTTTTAGGTAGGCTCAAATTTGATTGTTTAGAGCCTCGGCTCTATATAATCTTTTTCCTTATGAACTAAACTCAAATGTCAGGTTTCTTAATTAGGTCTAGTGGATAACATCTTTATTTTTAGATTAACTGAAATTTTGAATATGGGATATCATAGCGATGACTTACAAGAAGAATGACTTAAAATTCAAAGGCAACTAAAAGAACATTAACAAAATCGTAAAATGGTAAAATAAATTGAGTAGAGGATGAATGCAAAATGAATTCAACCGTTTAATCACCCCACCTTTTCCAGCTATATTTGTACATCCATTCGCGCCTTTATTAAACATATCACAAGGTTCATGCCTAAATGGCTCATCAAATCCTAAATCTAATGGAAATTAGAGGGAGGCCTCCATACCCCACAAGCCTCTTTGGACAAATTTAATGGTGCAAGAATCACCTTATATTGAAATGTCATTGACTTATGACCTCAAGGTAAAATATTCAAAATGCAAGAATAATACAAAGAAAAGATTCTTAAAGAGGCACACATTCTTGTCTAATTTCTCTCTCTCTCTCTCTCTCTCTCTTTCCCTTTCTTTTTTTGTTTATATTTTTTAAAAAAATAATAAGAGGAAAGATACGTTGTTTTTAGTAGTTTTATACAAGGTTAAGGTTTGTGTAAGGTGCCCACCTTATACCATCTAAGTAAGATATACTTCTAACATTTGTTGGAAGATGTAGTTTGGAGTCAGAAACCTTACAATGGCTTCAAAATTCATGTTTAACACAAATTATAGAATTTAAAATTTCAAAAAGAGTGCACATCGAGCATATCTATAAACATTCGAAAATTTTGAAAAAGGATAGTTTAGTTAACTTGTTATAAGTTGTACTATTTTTCGGACTTAATTTTTTTCTATATATCCATACATTTCGAGATTTAGATGATCATTAGGAAGGTTTTCCAACTTCAAATCACACTTTTCTACTCAATTTTTAAAATGGACGTTACTTCTATAGTATAAGGTTGAAAACTCATGTAAACCCCTTATACAAATGTTGATCAAGTCTAGGTTCATTTCCCTTTGCTTTTAAATTATTTATGAGAGAACGTTTGGCAACCTTTTCCACAGTCAAAGTTATCTCCAGCCCAAGAAAATCCCTATAAAAATAAGAAGAACACAAAAAAAATAAAATAAAAAAATCCACTTCTGAGATCTTCATAATCTATAATAATTTATGCAAAACGAGTAATGCATATGATCAGAAAATTATTGCAATCAATATTTTATCCTAAATATTTTTGCCAAAATATATTATCCTAAATCAAATAGAAATTCTCCTCGAAAATAAAAGAAATCGCAAAAATGATATCAAGGATGATGCGAGAAAATCCTAGAAATGAGACAAAGGTACTTTTGATTTTTTATTTTTTTTCATGTGTTTAGAAATCTTAAAAGAAGGATATGGCGGTTGCTAGAGGGGAAAAACCCCTATAATGGTCAAGAAAATTCCAGGAACGTAATTATCTCCTCAACTAGTTATGAATCTACAGGAACATAAAAGTAAAAATAAAAACATTTAAAAATTTCAACTTTAGGAGTTCTAATGCTATCCTTATCTCATTATTTCTCTTATTTTTAGAGATAGATATAAAAAAGAACTTATCTCATTAAACCAGTTAACATCGAGCAATTGAGTTGTTCTACAGAATCTATGACAATTCCATTTTTGATGTTGATGAGGGAACGTCTTTATAAACTTCAAAAGGGAAAGGAAAGAAGCACAGAATGAGAAATTGTCACCATTTAGAATGAGAAAATTACTGAAATGGGAAATTATCATCATTTAGAATGAGAAAATTTCAGCAGTTCAGAGATTTTGATGTCACATACCTAGTCAATGATGTACAACCACACTTTCTTAATACAACAAGATATCTAGTCATTTCTGGGTTGTTTCTAGTTCTAAAAATACTTCCATTCCATAGAAAATAAGTGTGGTCCATTTCTTCTATGGGGGAATAGAAAGGTGAGGAAGGTCAATGAAAAGCATGTTTCATGCTTCCTTACCACTTTTCCTATTAAGGAAGTCAATTCGTAGTAGGTTGAGTGCTGCTTCCTCTTCTTTTTTCCCCTTTTTTATTTATTTATTATTTTTTTTTTAAGCTTTTGGTAAACATTTCTTTGAACATAAATGACATAGGGTCTTAGATATGAGAAATTTCACTAAAGGGTAGGGGCCTAATTCCCCTCTGACTTATCTCTTTTTGAGCCTCAGCTACCTGTCTAGGTTTCCATGCTCACTGACGTATTCGAAAACCGCTAGTTATTTCTAAAAATCGGGTAGGGGACTATATTCCCCACCCATCTACCCAAAAAAAAAGATGTGAGAAATTTCATTCAAGTTTCCAAAATATGTCATAATTTAATCTTTTACTTCTATTTAACTCCCAAGTGAAAATTTTCTTCCATTTAATTCACAAGTTATTGAGAGTCACTCTCTCCAGAGAGAGATAGAGAGAGAGAGTAAAAAACTTGTGAATTAATTGGCTTTCCCATTTTTTTGATCTAAAATGGAATTTCATCAATCGGAGGTCAAAAAGATGTAATTTTTGTGCGGGTTCGGACCCGGATTGAAGCCTAATGGATGAGAAAATTTCGAACCTTGAGCAAAGAAAAAAGGTTACATGATTAGGGTTTTCTATGAAATGCGACCGAGGTGGGGTCTATAAGTACGTGCATGAATTGTTCACGTTACCATTGAAATGTCATCATCAAAATCCCAAGAAATCTTCTGCTTCGACTAAAACCTTCTCCTTCTACACACATTTAGGAAGACGATTCTCTGAACTGACTGCCTTAGAGAGAGCTGGATGTCACAAATTGAAGTAGAAAAACCACTGGCAAACTTCATTTTTGGAAAAATATCTTTGGGCATTCTATTTTAATATACTATTTCTCAAAAGACCTAGAGTTATTAAAAACTTTTTGATAGCATAAATTTTTTAAAATTTATATTTTCAAACCCCTTAGACCCAATTTATCTTTTTTAACTGCTTTTTTTTTCGTTAAAAAAAAAAAGAGATACCTCTATCTTTCTACTGAACATCTCTCTCTACATCTTTATTTCTCTCTCTATAAAGTCTCTCTCCAACCTAGAGAAAGAAATAAAGACATTGTATAGAGAGAAGTTTAGTAGACAGATATAGGTTTCTTGTTAGTTTTTGTTTGGACAAAAAATGAACTATAAAAATGGATACTTTGGGTCCAGGGCGTTAGAACATATATATTTTTAGAAAACTTATGTCACAAGATAGTTTTTAAAACCCTGGATCTATGAAGAAATGGTACACTAAAATAAGATGTACAGTGATATTGTCCCTTTATTTTTATCATGTAAGTTCCTTTTTTTAAAAATCCAAATGAAACCTACATGTATGCAATATTGGGAATTCATCATATCCAATTTATTTCAAAAAGAGAAAATGTTAACAA